TTTAAAAAAGGTGATAATCAGTTTCGCTTCGGTTTTAATAGCAATATCATTAAATAACTTACTTCAGATAAAAATTAATATATTTATATACATGGCCATAGTAATCGCTTTGTTAAATAATATTTTGTGCAAAAAAAAAATTTCATAAATCAATCACTTTTGGTAAGTCAGTTGGACTCAAAATTTAGTAAAAATACTCATCTCAAACATCGTAACTGGCTCAGAAAGTATCGAATTTGATCGTCTAATTTTAATTCTGCCGCACTGTGCGGTCTAAGTAAGTCGTTAGTGGTAGAGTAGCTTTATTATTGCAACATCTTTATTTTAAATGGAAATGCTACTGTTAACTATAAACTTCCAAGAATATTACATTTATATGACATGAATATGATAAAAATGTGAATATATTATATTGAATATAATCTTTGAAAACCTAGTGAAACCTGTATGCTCTATGATATGCGGAGTGAACATCCTTCCAGCTTGTATAATGCAATTGTTAATAAATGGATCTATTACCTGCATGTGGCTTTCATTGAGCCGAATAAAGCCAAAAGTCTTTAATTGAACGCTTCTTTAGGTTAGGTTAGGTTATACTTTCAGTTTTGTTTCTAAATTTAAAATTTTTAATTATTTGGTTTCTTCATAATTTTTATTATCCTTTTAAAATTCTAACTTGTTTTATTTTTTTGTTTTTCTTAATATTTGTTTATTTTATTTTATTTTTAAATTAATTTTTTTATTATTTATATTTATTACTTCTATTACTTATTATTATTTATTTTTACTTTTTTTTTGCTTGTATTGTAAATTTAATTTATTTTTTATTATTGTTTTTAATTTTTGTTTTTTATATTTTTTTAATATTATTTTTTTTTAATTAATTTAAATATTTTTTTTAATTATTATTATATTTTAAATTTTTTATATTCTTATATATTTTAAAATTTTTTATATATTTTTTTTTATTTAATTTTTTGATTTTGATTTTTTATTAATTTTCCATTCTTTATAAGATTTTCTTAAAATATTTTATTTTCATAATTCATATAATTTTTACTTAAACTTTATTCAAATATTTTCGTTAATCTTTTTTCTTAAATATCATTTTTTACTTTTTTGAGTATTGCACATATGTTTCTTAAAATTTATATTTTTTATATTTATTTAATATATTATTTTCAATTTTTTTTTTATTTTTATAAAGAGGTTTTCGGTACAGTAGTGAACTACAGCAACAAAAATTTATTTTTTATATTATTTTAATTGATTGAATTTTTGGCTGACCATACAGCTGTTTCGATTATTGCCAAATACCCATCATCAGTGGTCTTGTATTTAATTATGCGTAAATAATTATTTTTAAGACTGCAAGTACCAGGAATCGAACTCGGGTCCTGCCAAATGTGAAGCTCAGAATCAACGTACCTTAACCAACTGATCCAAAGCCGTACTTGACTTTTTATGTTCGCATATATTTCTGGATATTTATTTTTATAAATTTAATTTTTAATTTATATTTTTATATTTTTTCTTAATATTTTATTTAATACATTTTTTAAATTTTTTTTTCTATTTTAATAATTTTATGTTATTTTATTTATTTAAATGCTTGCTTATTATATATATTTAGTTATTTCTCACTTTATTTTTTTTTTAAATATACATGTAATATTTTTTTGTTTAATTTTTACAATTGTTTATATTTTTTCAAAATTTTTTTGTTCTTAAGTTTTGATTATACTTTCTTTTAATTTTTATTTGGGTTTTTTTTTTTCAATATACTATATTTAAAATAATTTTTTTTTTTAATTTTTAAAACATTTTGAACACTTTTGTGTTTTTTTATATATATATATTATTTATTGAATTTACTTGATTTTATAAGTATATTTTTTATATTTTATAAATTTAATTAATTTTTCTATTTTTTCTATCTTTTTTTATTAATATTAATTTTTTAATTTTTAATTTAATTTATATAATAATTTCACAAAACTTATTTCATATAACTTTTTAAATTACTACTGCTATACTTAATATACTTAAATTATGTGTGCATATAAAAGAAAAAATAAATAATAAAAATATCCTACTGCATTTTGTGGTAGAGATTAGATCAGTGTAGCTTTTCCAAGCCAAGTCTTCCAACACAGCACAGTGCTCTGTACGACAACAAAATAAAATATATTCTGGATACACTGTTAAGCGCATATTGTGCACGATAAACCTATAAATAATATCCTAATCCACCAACGCAATGTTCGTTATATACTTACATACATATATACAAAATACAAAGCATTGCAGATTCACTAATTCATTCATTCATTCATTTACTCATTCATTCATTCAGTATACTCACTGTTGACTGTTGCCTGCTGAAAATCCAATAGAAATACGGCGAGCACATGAGATAAGCAAGCGGGCAAGCGAGCAAGCAAGCACCTGAGGCACACTGGCAAAAACAATCAATGGCAAAGGAAATGCATGTTATAGTTTGGAGGTGGCAGCGCCATTTACTGCTCATGGATTACGACTATTTGAAGATGTATACGAACGAGTAGAGTAGAGTAGTAAAGTTGAAAGCACTGCAAGCAACCGAAATCGAAACCAAATACCAAAGATCCAGTAACACACATTTGCGCTCAAGCGCATTTCCATTTCTAACGATGACGTTGTATGTAACAACAGCAGCAACAACAACAACAACAACAACAACAACAACAACAACAACAACAACACTAACTATACTAACAACAACAACAACATTTACAACAATAACTAGCAAACGATCGCATCAGCAGCCATAAATTCAACAACAATTGCTTTTAGTTATATTACTAGTCAGTAATGCTTTTGTTGTATACTTTAGAAGGTCGCTGAATCGATGGTTTTCCACAATAATACTCTTTTGTTGTTGTTATTGCATTTGGTGTTATTGTTGTTATTGTTCATGCCTTGGTTCACCTACAAATTCAAAGACAAGTTTAAGTTTATCCATTCATTGTACGATCATTTGCAATGCATTTGCTTTTGCCGTTCGGCAATTGTTGTTGGTTTTTTTAGTTTTTTAGTTGTTTTGTTGTTTTTATTTATGCATGCTATAAAATTTCTGGCCATGTTGTTATTGTAATATTCATGTAATTGTTGTATTTGTTGTTGGCGCATATATTTTAGAGTGCAATTTATGTGTTTTTTTTTCTATAATTAAGTTTTAGTTTTGAGTTTTGATAGTTTTATGGTTTAATATAAGCTTTGGCGCAATTTTGCACTTAGACTTGGTCTTGGCTTTAAGTTAATGTAGTAATATGCATTGAAAACAAAAAATACGAGTACTTGTTTTTTTTTTCCTTTTTGTTTTTGTTTTTGTTTTGCATCATATATGATTTTCTTTACGATATTTGTAACCTTGTCTTCATATTTTATTGCTAGTAAAAATTTTGTTGAGAAAAACTTATTTGAATTGGACTTGACCTTAATGTGTCTTAGAATACAAATACATAAATTTTTGGATTCTTTAACATTTTTTAACTATTTATGTTTGTATTATTAACTTAAAATATATTATTTAAAATTTAAGTTTTTGGGTGTAGAAAAGTGAGCTTAATTATTAAACATTATAACATTAAATGTTATATTGTTGTATATATAGCAAACATGATCTTACATTCAATTATCACTAAGAGATATCGATCATTTTTAACATTTCAGTTTTTGGGTTTCCGATTATAGCAATTTAGCAGACAATCACAAAGCAGACAAAAATTACTTTCTCTCCATGGAATCTAGAAATAGAAATAGTAGACTGTGTCTTCGTTTTATAGTAGTGGTAGTATTATTAGCTTAATTTTTACTTCATTTTAAATTTGTTGTATTACATAGAAATTAATAAGAATTATATTATATGGCATATATAAAGCTTACAGTTGTAGCATTTAAGCCATCTGCCGTCATCTTATAGTGATAACTGAAATAAAGATGTTGTAATATAGTATCTGATATTAAAATATCTAATTATTTAGCTTACTTAGAAACTTAGGGTGCTTAAAAACATATTTGGAATATCTAAAAGTTATGAATACACCACCAACATCCTGTGGAAATACAAAACAGGAAAGTTTAAAAATACACCGTCAATATCCTGTGGAAATACAAGATAGGAAAGTTTAACAATACACCGTCATATATTGAGTTCTCTTAAATTTACATATTTCGTCTTTGGCAGTAGCTTTTGCCAGCCAACCCGATCAGTCGCTTACTTTTACCCATTAGTAGTACCGAATGTCTTCAAATCTATGGTCACATAGTCTAGTCATCTAGTCTGATTACGACAGCGAAGCCATTGGATTTTAAAGTGCTTAACTATTTTAATTTCGCGATATAGCGCATTGTTCTATATATTTCGATACTCATTACCAAAGTGTAAGAAACTATAAATTATTTAAACAATTTTTCTTTCGAATGCTCTCAACGCCTTTTAGTACTGTAGGTAATTGTCCAAATTTCTGCATCGTACAGCAGAGCGGGCATTATAAGAGACTTGCAGACCGTGATTTTTGTTTGTAGACCATAGACGTAGACCGAAGTAATAACTATTGGCAAAAATAAATGCTCTCAACGCCTTTTAGTACTGTAGGTAATTGTCCAAATTTCTGCACCATACAGCAAGGCAGTCATTATAAAAGAGTTCTAGACGGTGATTTTTATTTGTTTAAAGAGTTTTTTGTCTCACTTACCTACGTAGACCGAAGTAACAACTATTGGCAAGAATGATCCTTCGGTGAATCTCTACGTTAACATTATTTTTAGTGTTTACACTGGTTTCCACATAAACAAAGTTTTTCATATATTAGACTATAAATATATACTTACTTAACATTATAGCCACATCCTGGCTAATAAATAAAAGTAAAAAAAAAATAAGTAAAAATTAAAACAAAATCATTTCTGCAATAGAAATAGTATATTTTATAAAAATATATAATTTATTTATTGGTTTTTAAGTTGATAACACTTTTAGAAAAATTTTTTGATAATATATATTACTACTCTAAATTTTGAACCTGTAAAGACGATCACTACAATGAAAGGAAAGTTGTGGATATCTGCATAAACAAATTGTCCTTATCAGCTTCTTTTATAGCGCGTTTGGTAGCATATAAACAATTGATAAATCGTGGATGTTTAAGCTTACCAATGCCGATATGATAGTTCTTATGTCCGTCAAAAGTTATTAGTAGAAATAATTCATTGATGTTATAATTTCGTATACGTTTAAAAATTTCATTGTACAAGTCCTTCTTAATAATAGATATCAAACGCTGCGAACAGCAACGAAAGTCATTGACGTTTGCTGGGCTTAAATCAATCAATCTTTCCTTGGGCTTCACTGAGGTTTGAGGGTCGTCAAGAGAAAGTTCTATGTCCAAGCCAAAGTCATTTCTTAGTTCAGAATCCTTTCCAATACTAAGATGAGGTTCGTGAGGGGAAAGTTCCACGTCCAAGCTAAAATCATTTCTTAGTTCAGACGAATTTCCAATACTAAGATGGGAATCGTGAGAGAAAAGTTCCATGTCCAAATTAAAAATATTTTTTGGTAGGCAAAAATTTGCATTACTATGTTGTGACTTCTCAAGAGAAAGTTCATTGATTAAGCTAAAATCATTTCTTGGTTCAGAAGCATTTCCAATAGTAAGATGGGATTCGTTAGAGGAAAGTTCCATGTTCAAATTAAAATAATTTTTTGATAGGTAAAGATTTGCATTACTATGTTGTGACTCATCAAGAGAAAGTTGATTGATCAAGCTAAAATCATTTCTTGATTTGGAAGTATTTCCAATACTAGGTTGTTGCTCGTCACTCTTACGCTCGTAATTCTTATCCACTAATGATTTTACCGGTAGTGATAAGTTTCTTTCAAGTATATAATCACATTGTTTTTTTTCGTACGGATACCTATTTTTCTCACTCAGTGATAAATCTGTAGTTGGAACTAATTCACGGTACTGTATCATTTGATCCTGCTCTTCAATGTCATCATGCATATCAGTTGGTATTTGATTCTTAGGAAAATCTGCAGAAATATCAATTTGTCTGATTTTCGTAGGTTTGTGAAGCATTTTAATATTGTTCAGTGATTGCCGATTCCCTGAAGGACAGAAATTAATTGTTAGTTCCTTTATCATAGTTAAAGACTGCAGCTGGCATAAAATACTAGCTTTGATCTCTGCATATTTATAGCTCTTATACACTGTATCGATTATTTCGGTAGTGTTATTTAAGTTGTTTAAGATATTTGAACATTTCAAAGACCAATATTTTCCTTTAGTGATTATTGATTCCTTAAAACTTGATATTAATGGATCATGTACATGAACATATAATTTTGGTACTACTTTCGTGATTGAGTTATTATACGTTAAGTTATCTGTAAACGTTAGCGCTGGAATTGTACGTTTATAACAACGACTCTTAATAAAACTGTGTTGAGCTTTAAAAATAGTCTCCATATCCTTAAAAGGATCTATTACTATTTTATCCATGCCATCGTTTTGTATTATTTCCAAAATATTCCCGGAAAACCTAAACAAACTCTTGAGAATTTTTCTATCGTGATCCATTTGATTATAAAAATAATTATTTTTATTGATCTCAATAGGTGAAAAATATTCCCAGTCACTCAATTTACTAACGCGTTCAGTATTATAATGTTTGTTTAACTGTGTTAAGTCAGATTTTGTTTCCGCAGTAGAATTTGGATTATTACGATTACTCGAATGCAGAAAGTCGAAAAATTGCTGGTCTTCTACTGAAACAATCTGCAATGTATTCTTTGTATATTGTATACGCAAAATCTTCCCCCGATTTATTCCACGACCAATCTGACTTAAGCTGTTGCATGAGAACAACAAAATTTCACATACAAAGTCAAACTTAAATGTTTTACGTATATTTGTTTCTATAAATTTTAAAGCTTTGGACCAATCCGCATATTTCAGAAAACCATTTCTACATATTTGTCGTAACTTATTTAAAGCAGCTTTCACTTTTCCATTTACTTGGAAAGAATGTTCTTTATTTTCTTTCAATTTGAAATAGCATTTCCAGTTTAATAGATTGGGTTTTGTGTTTTGGGGACATTTTCGAAAATTTACAATTACAAATGCAGTAGGATCTTCATTGCCTTTATTCTGAAAATACTTTTTCTTTATTATCCAATATACAATACATTACAATATGATAGAATATTAAATAATAACTATTTAATAGAAATCTTACATGTTTTTTCGTTCTAAAATTGTTTTCAATTGGTAATTTCGACCAAAAAAGTGGAACTCCAGAAGACCACCGCGAAAAACATAAATGCTTTTTGCTTATAAAAATTCTGTAATTATCTAAAAAAAATGATGTCTACAGACTTTAGATGAAACTTTTAAAAAAACTTATTTTAGTTTAAAATAAGAATGTTAAATAAATGTATTATAAATTGAGCACGCCACACTGCATATAAATTGTTTTACTGAATTGACTTCATATCAATCACGATGTAAATCTCCTTATTCCACTCACACAAGCAAACAATGCTAAGCTTAGATCAAATGAGATTGTATCTGTACAGTAAAATAAATAAAAGTCTGTATGCCAGCCTACGGCACCAAGTACTTTATGATAAAGGAATATCATAATAATTATATAAAAGCAGCATCAAAGTACACATTATCAAAAATAAGTCGATGAACTATTTATCACCAAAATATCATTGTGCTTAATCATTTTTTAGATAATTAGAGGCTAAACTATACCGTTTTCAATTCGTAAATGTGGATTCAAGCAAGATGTACTTTCCATCCGTCAAATTTTGTTGTCCAATCGAACGATTTTAAAGTAATCTAAGATTTTTATAGTTGTGTTAGTGTCATATAAAACAGTTGTTAATTTCAAAGTAATCTTGATATTATCGAGTTTAATACATATCGAGAGTTATCAATCGAAAATAAAAATATATTGAGCGAGGAACTTGATTGTAAAAGTTATCCCAGATTAATTAGTCGAAAACGACATTAGTTGGATTATATAAATATGAGGACTAATCCTAATAGTTATAAAAATATTTTAATTGTTATAACAATGTGCAAGTCCTGAAGTATTTAGGTTTCTTGAAATTTATTGATATATTTTCTTCATGCATTTTTGTCATTTCATGGTCAGCGGAACGGGTTTTGATCTTATCAACTTTGATTTGGCTGACTTTTTATTGACTTCCCTTTTTTTTTAAATAAATATAATCGTGTCTCGGAAAAAAGTTTTTAAATTTTTTCTTTAGAAGATACAAACCCAAGGATTTTGAGAATTGGCATTTTAGACCAATTTTTATTAGTCCATATCTCAGGGTCTATAGGCTCTGCTTTTTTCATTAAAAAAATAATAAATTGAATTTCTTGTTATTATTAAAAAAAAAATTGTTTATAATTAGTTATTGTTATTATTAAATGATAGGGTATGAATGCACCGCGATCTACAAGATCTATTGTGCGCCTAAAAATCCAACTAAAACAATTCTAGACTACTTATAAATCTCGTAATTACTGTGGGCGTAACTTTACCTATATATATTTAATTTGGGATCAAGATCCCGCTTTCAAGGTAGTCAAGTCTACGTCTTGCCGCTGTTGCACATATTCTGATGATTCCAGAACTCCTTATAACAGAGTCGACAGGACAAAAAAAATGTTTTTTAGTGATTTTAATTGATAACACAGTATTACAGTATTTATTATAGTACTCATCTCGCATAAGATGTGTTCAAATTATGTAAATTTAAGAAAGTTCTGTTGTAAGTTTGTTTAATATTAAACAATTACCATTCTAATTTGTTAATTTAATATTTTTTAATTTATAAAATATAAATTTTTTACACTCAATATAAATCCACCACGTACATTTTTGGCACAACTAGTTATAATTGTACTCTTAACTTTCCTTACTAAAATAATAAAAACACTCGTTACTGGCAAGGAATTAAGCCAACAACACCCAAAAATGCAAAGCAACGAGTAGACAAAAGGATCTAAATCAATTGTGGATTTTGCTCATTTTGGTTTCTTAAAGTGCTGTTAACTGGCAGGGCAAATCAAAAACTTTTGTGTCATCATTTGTGTTGCTATTGTTGTTGCCGGCAGCTCCATTTATTTCGAAGCTGCCATCGTGCACTTCTTATGCATGTTGTCGGCGTCAGGAATAGCAAGCGCAGGAGTCAACTGGTGGAAAACACTTAAAACTCAAACCAACACAATGCAATGCATATAAATTGAATAAAACCAACATTAAATGAAGCTCAAGACTTCCAACAGACAACGTCAAGCAAATTTGTATAATCGTCGGCAAGTGTGTGCTGTGCAAGTATAAGTGTATAAGTGTAGTCATTATGACTCTAGTAGTTGTGGTAGTACTTTTGTATTTGGGTGCCATTATTTGTATATCACCATTTTGATTGTAATACTTTAGAAGTATTCGACATTTATTTGAAACTTTTTCAAATGACGCTACCAAATACGAACAACGACTAGAGCTTGCCAACATACAACAAAAACAACAAAAGCCATATCCTTTGACATTGTGCTGTATAGAGCACAGCATATAACTGCGTTTTAGCATAACTGTTGCATGCGGCAATGCCATGTGCTCGTTTTGAACATGTCTTCAACCAATTTTGGCAGCAAAAACAAATAAAACAAAAACAAAATGTGCAAAACATACAAAAAAAGAACTACACACCAACAAAGACGAAAGTAAACAAAGAAAACACAAATATCAACTGATATTTAAACAAAAAACTGTAGAACAGTATGTTGCTGCCCACGCCCGAGCACTCTTTCCGCAACGTCCTGATGTGCTGTGTAGGAAATGTGAAAATCGTTCCTTGTTCAGAAAGTTTTTATTTCCAAAGCACCACAACAACAATTACAACACCAAAAAACACAACAACTACTACTGCAAAGACAAAACGCTACTTGTGTTTTTTGTTTTGTTGTTTTTGTTGTTGTTGGAAGTTTGGCACATTAAAATTTACCATCGATTTTGGTCGTTTTGGTACAAAACGAAACGACGAGCGTTGGGTGCCGTGCGGTAATTTCCTTTTGCACATCTGCATTTGGACTGTCGTCATGGTCGTTTCAAATCGTTTTACATCGTTTTTACACTTCGTTTTACTTTTCATTAGGTGCGCATTTTGCATTTCGAGGGCAACGACTTGTTGCGCATTAAATATATGGGGTTTTATTTGCTTTTTATTTGGTTTCTGTATGTGTGCTCAGTGTGCTGCTTATATTGGTGTGAGTTAGCAGTTGCGTTTGTGTGTGAAAGCGCAACAGTAGATGTCGTTGGGTGGACATGAAATATTATTTGCTTCTTTTTTCGCTTTTACTGTAATGTTTTATGCTGTCAGTTATTTGTGGGGTTTTATTATCACGCGTTTGCTGATATATGGGTGCGTCGTCCTTTTTGACAGCATATATACGATATGGCTAAGAAATTCTACAAAATCACGTTTAAAAATATTTGGTTTGGTTCATTACGTACCTGACATTTTGCCAAATTTTAGTCTGTAACAATAGTCGCTTATGCAGCTTATATTCTTTTGCTCATTTTTGCCGACAGAACAAAATGAAAACAAAATCAAAAATAAAGGTATTTAATTTTTATATAAATAGACTTTAATATTTAAAAATTTAAGGCAATATTCTATGAATGACTTAATTTCAATATAATAATTTTTTTTAATTAAATTCTATCAATAATTTTGTGTTTGTGACATAAGTGATTAAACCTTTATAAATACTGACAAAAGCAGATTTAAAAAAAATAATATTAAAGAAGAAATCAATGATACAACAGCGAGCTGTATCAGTTGATGAGTGGAGATTGCAACACTAAACACGTGCCTAGGCAGATATTAAGATGAGCCAGCCATGTAATAAGAATGCTAGAAGAAAAACACAAGTAAAATTTTTATACCAACTCACTAGCAAACTCACTAAGAGAAATAGACGACCAAGCTGAAGATAATAGATTTATTGTTTAATAAATCGCTAGAGTTTCATAACATACCTGCATTCTCCATAATATCTCTCCTTAAAAAATATATGTTCGTTTGCAAAGAACCAAAAAACACAATTAGTAATAAATAAATGAAAATTTATGTTTATAGAAAAATTAATATATATCAAAAAAATTTAAGGTAAACTGATTTAAAACAGTTAAAAATCAAATAATTCCACATATTTATTATATGTTGAAGACAGATTTTGAAAAAGATATTAACATATCAACGGATTTTTCTATAGTTCTTTGAAGAAAATAATTACTAATAACTAAAACTAGTTTAGATTATTTTGATAGCCAAATTACAGGATGTTAAAGAACACTGTTTATTTTAAAAAGTCATATTAAACAAATTGAAAATTTTTCATAATATTGTACAATATTGAGACTAGAGAACGCTTACACAGTAGAATCGCCTGAAGAGTTATGCTGCGTCAGATCAAGCCCGTTAACGGATTGTTATAGCCATTTAAGTAAGTAAATAAGTAACTTCGTGAATGCCAATGACAGTACGTTTCCCATAACATAATTGGCTTAAGACCTAATAATCGTTCCCATATATATAACAGATTTTTGAGACCTTTTTGCATTTTTAAGCGGTTTTAGCTTATTCCATATCTTTGGTGTCTATGGCAGTATTAGACAAAAATTGGAAAATATAATTGTGTGAGTTTTGACTAGTTCATAATTCTTATTTGTGTAAAATGTTAAATAAATGATAATTTGCAATTGAATAAATTACTCAATTCAAATTAAAATAGCTAAAATATATTATATATTACCTTATCGTAGCTTTAAGTAAAGAATTCTGCGTTACTATAAAGGAGGCATATTGGTTTTGCTAACAGCTAGACAATTAATAATAATAAATCAGTTCAAAGATTATAATATTGTAATATAAATATATTTAATATGTGTTTTTATTTATTAAAAACTGGTCTATCAACATCGTTTTAGTGACAAATCGTTTTTATTACTTTTTAAAATTTATGAAACTTCGACTTGAAATATTTCTAGTGTAAGCCTGAGGAAACATATTTATTATGTAAAATATTTCAATGTTAACTACAGTATTTTTAATACTTTATTTAATAATTTTGTTTTACTGATTCTGAAATGTTTTCTTAATACTTATATGTAAGAGCAGTAGGGAAAAAGCCATTTAGGGAAAATTATATCACTTACAAAACAATTTTGAGATTTCAAGAACATAAATATAACATTCCTATCTTAATATCCTAACACTAACCCATGTATACGTCTATGTAACTCCTTTTATGTTGCCTGCTTGATAAATCTCTACGGGCTATAATAACAACAAGGGATTTGCTATAGAAGAAGAACAAAGAATATAGTGTAAATCATATAGTTTAAACTAAGAAACAATCGTTTGACGACCACAAAATATCATTTACAGACAAAGTAATATAATAAATCAAAAGAATATTAAGAAATCGGCATATCAAGGTTTATTTAATTTTAATTAAATTTTAATTTAATTTAAATTTTAATTAAATTTTAATTTAATTTAAATTTTTATTAAATTTTAATCATATTAAAACTATCATATTAAAACTTACTAGTGATATTTATTTAAATTGTTTACTGAATTGCTTAAATTTAGATTTATGCATTGAATTGATTATATTTGGAACATTTGCTATATGAACACACTCCATTGTATAGGCATCCAGTACATCCAAAGAAAAGTTCAATTTTCATAAGATTTTTATTTGTATCACATATACTATGAAAAACTGTATGCTCTTAGTGATAAGTCTTTAATGGATTATATAATCCATAAACATCACTCTTCTATTAATCATATATGCAATTATGATTATGATTATATAAAGTTACAATAACTAAAATAAGACATAATAGGTATTTGATTTACTCTCCAAAACTAAGTTGTACTCGAAATCCCTAATCAAAACTGACCTTGTGAAACATAAGTTTAATTAATAAATTTGCATAAAGATAGTTAGATACTCGTACATTAAAAATGCATTATGCATTATTCTAATAGGAAGTAAAACCAGTACATAAAATTACAATATTAAACAACATATTTTGAATATACAAGCGATACCAAAACTGAGTAGCTAATTTTAATTTGAAACCGCCAATAAATTAATACAAAACAACGACCGCCAGTTAAAATTTTATAAGCCATATAATCACAATCATATCTATATATATATATACATATATATATGTATGTATATATATGAAGTCATAATCGTTATATGTGCACATGTGATGGCAAGACTGTAATAAATCATTTCAAAGTAATTTTGAACAGATTTCAACTAGTTTTCCTAGCAATCAATGTATCAATGTATCTATGCATCTATGCAATAATCAATTAGAGTTCTGCTTAAAATAATTTAAGTAAGTGTATCTGTCTGTCCGCCTGGCAATTTCCCATGCCGCTTAAAATCAATTTTTTGATTTACTACGCTGCAATTCTAAGCTTGGCTTAATCACATGAATTACAATCCAACTTTAATCTAAGCTTAAACTTAGCATGACAAGATTTTAGCATAAATTAAATTTATACAAAATGCGTCAATTGTGTAAGTATTAAATAAAAAATTTAACAGTAAATATCAATTAAGTTTTTATTATTAATTCAATTTTTTTTTTAATTTTTTTTTAATTTTTACTGCTCATTTATTTTTAATAAAACTCATTTTCTGCTTAAATGAAATTCTAGAAAAGTGAAAAATATAAACAAAAACTTAAAACCAGAAACTGTCAGAATATAAATGAAATCTAAACAACAACAATAACAACAACAACAATTACAGCAGATACAAATGCAACAATAAACAATAAACAAAAAATAAAAAGTATAAATTAAATATTTTATAAAAAAAAATAACATGAAAAAAGTATCTTAAGAATTGTATGAACAAGTTTTTTTTCGTTGCAGTTTTTTGCATTAACCTTGAATAAATCGCATTTAATTATAACCAATCACAAATTTACTAAAAATCTTTCATTTTGCACAACAAAAGCATCCGATATACAATAAATTTTGTATTATTTTACATTGCACATTTTGTAATTGCTTTAAAATAGAAAATTATTTAACGAAATATACTATTAATCTTTTGTTTTTATCTTTTTACTGCATTTCAGATACAGATACAACAGAAAAGACAGCAACAAAAACACAGTAAACATTCCGCAAAATACGTTCCAAACGGGAAATATTCAATAAAAAAAACAAAAACTATGATGAAATCATATTTCATGTGTTCAAAGTAGTTAAACATAAAAGACATTAATAGAAATTAATTTTAAAAATTGTATATATAAATTTTTAATTAACTTCACAGAAATATATTTTCGAAAAACTTTAATAAAATATGTAAATAAATTTTAAATATTATTACCGATAAAAATTTGGTGACTCAGTATATTTTATTGTAATTTTAAAAAAGTGATTTTTTTTTAAATGTATCTGCGTGATTATATATATAATACATTTTCAAATGATTAATATACATTTTTAATTTTTTATAATAAAAAATAAATAAAAAATGGCGGAATGTTCATACGCCAGGTGCCTTCAGGAACGTCGCCTCATAAAGCGTGAATTGATGAAACAGTCAAAGGAAATGTTACATATTGTCGGTGAGTTTTTTATATTACTGGAAACTATTTATTAATATATATTATATGAATTTAATATTAATACAAATATTTAAATGTAAGTTAATATAAAATAAATAAGTAAACTAATTTACATAGCAAGACACCGACAAAATTGGAAGAACTTTATCAAAAATTTATGTGAATAGGCTAAGTTTGTAAAATCTGATATTGTAACAAACATGCTAATACCAAAAATAATAATTAAATTAATTACATAAAGAAATACATTACTTAAATGAAATATTAATCAAAAATTTTTTTTATAATAAATTAAATTTTATATATCAAGAGTAAGGGTTTAAATAATATATCAATCAAATAACAATAATAATCATTTTTTATAATAACCATATATGTAGTTATATATATATATGTATATATATATAAATGTATATATAGTTATAGGGTAGCCACATCGCATTTTTTGGTTACCACCTTAGAGAGAAGCATGACAAAATCTCTGACTTAGTTACAGTTTAGTATCTGGTGATACTTAGTATAGTGGTAAAGACCGTATTGTAATTCCGAAGAAAAATTTATTTAATTTTTAGTTCTAGGGTAGTCACGTTACATACTGTTGGTCACATTACGTAGAGGGGTGGCCTATAAAGTCACTGATCTTATTGCTCAATAGTATGCCATTGTTTAATTGGATCATTTCACAGAGTACAACAGAATTAAAATTATATTTTTTCACCATTTAAAATATTTGTTTAAAATATCTATGAAGATGTGGTATACATATGTAATATTATTATTTTAAACCTTTAACGATGGTTACTGTCGATTGTCTTATATGCATTATCAACTTAAATTGTTAAGAGAGGGGTACTACAACAACAAAAATCCTTTTTATATTATTTTAATTAATTTAATTTTTATAGGACAGCAATTTTAATTTAAAATTAA